TCGTTGTCGTCTTCGCCGTCGTGGCCGACGCCGCCGCCCCCTCACGCTGCGCCCGCCCCTCTCCTCCTCTCCTCTTCCGCCATCTCCGTCCCGTGTCCCTGTTGCGCCTCCCCCCACCTCGACCCTCCTGTGCTGACAGTGGTTAGTTGCGCTCTCGGGTTTTGCGGCCACTCGCCTGCCGCCTTGTTCTGCCGCCGCCGTATGGTAGAACCCAGGGCAACGAGACCAACTTGATTATCGCACCCGAGGGTTGTTAAACAAAGTATGTACGTTTGGATCCTCAGGTCCTAATATACTCTAGGGGCCTCCTCGTCTAAAGGGTCGCGTGGTGTTCCCTCGTCCTTCGTCTTCAGGCGGCTGGCGCAGATCCAATCTGTTTCCAGCGCCTTACTCCTTCGTGCTTCTGCCCACTTGTTTCGACCGACAGGTGGTGGAAAGCAGCGGCTTTCTGTCAGTTCTAGTATTTGCTTCAGGAGGGACCCCCGACGGCATGATTTTTCATGACGCGGATCTGGGGAGGTCTTGACCCCTTCCCCGGGACCAGCTTTTCATCCCGAGTCGTTCGGTGACGGTCCCAGGGCCCCGCGAGGGCCCCCGCAGCCCGGAAAGAACAACACACACAGACGTTGGTCGTGGTTCTTGCCGCGACGCGAGGGAGTCTGGGACAGCTCCCTCGTCTCAGAGGCCCTCAGCTGCCGAAGCTTTCAGGCGATGTTTCGCCTCGAACACCCGCGACTTTTCGAGTCAAAGTGAAGCCGCTCAGAAGAGGAGGGAAGCTCGGGGATACACCCCCAGTGGGCTATTCGAACGCACCCCTATGGAGGATGCACGCCCCCTTCGTAGATCCCTGGGTTGGGCCCCAGATTTCTCGCCCCGTCGAAAACCCCATGGAGCCTGGCACAGGGGTCCGCATATCCCCCGCTAGAAGCGGCTCCGAAGCCCGGGCCAGCGGAGGAAAGCTCAACTGGCCCCCGTGCTTGCGGCTCCGCCCCGGCCCACAGGGGGGCACCCCGGGCGTCGCCCGAGGGCTGCGGCTCGACTTCTCGCGCTGCCGCCGGGCCGCCACCAACAGGCCCCCATGGGCGGCGCAGTGGGCGCTTCCGAGCACGCTTGCCCCCTTGCCAGGGAGCCCCCTTGGCGTCGTGACGTCGGGCGCCCGGGTCCCCCGCTCCACCCCCTCCCCCTTCTGCCTCCGCCCCCCTGGCATCGCTCGGGCGAGTGCATTTTTTCCTCGGCGAGGGCCATCGAGGAGCACCCTCGATCATCGAGCCGCAAGAACACACACGAAATCGACAAATGCACGGGGAATGGACGTCCGAGCGATGGCGAGCCCCCCCTCCCCTCCCCCCTCCTTGCCTGGGCCACCGGCACCACGCGGCGAGCAGCCCCGAGCCATCTCCAGCGCGGGCGATGAGGCGAGCGGGCCAGCGTGCGAGGGCGGGACGGTGCGCACGACGGCCTCCGACGAGGCCTCCGCTCGGGAGCCTGCGGAGGCCTCCCCTGGGGCCCAAGAGGCCTCCACGCCCAACGGCTTGCCAGAGCGCGCGAAATGAGGGAGCTCGAGCTAGAGCCTGCAGTCTGAACTGCGGAGGTCGCGGAGGGAGAGAGACAGAGAGAGAGAGAGAAAGAGAGAGGAAGAGAGAGAGAGAGAGAGAGAGTGAAGCCCAGGCGGGCGGAGCAGGAGCGACAGGAGGCGGATGTGTGAGGAGCAGCATGGGGAAAGGAGCCAAGAGCAAGGAGGAAGAGGAGGAGGAGGAGGCGCAAGAAGAAGGAGGAGGAGGAGGAAGAGGAGGAGGAGGAGAAGCAGGAGCAGGAGTAGGAGCAGGAGGAGGAGGTGGAGGAGGAGGAGGGGGGCGAGGCATCGGCAGCATTCGCAACAGAAGCGGTGTACGCATCGGCAGCAGCCTCATTTACCATGATGAGGGTGATGAGAAGACAGAGGATCCCATATCCCCGACGTTATAACTGTTGACCACATCGACCCCCCGAGGTCTTGCACCATCCCCCGGGACCCGCTATTCATCCTGACTGATTTTTTGACAGTCCTGGGGCCCGGCGAGGTCCTCCTAAAGCAGTCAAATACAGCAACACGCCCATCGTGTTTTTTTACACGACACGATGGAGTCTAGGTGAGGAGGAGGGAGGAGGAGGAGGAGGAGGAGGAGGAGGAGGAGGAGGAGGAGGAGGACAAGGAGGAGGAGGAGAAGGGTTTGTTGCTGGTTTTGAGACTGGGAGCGGCAGCAGATTCCTCCCTGGTTGCTTTTTTGCCTCCCTGATTCCGGGGCGGCGCGCCGTGCACAGGCCGACGTCTTCACGAGCACGACCACGGTCTCCACGGGGTCCGAGACCACGACCGGGACCACGAACACGACCACCTCGACAGAGACCGTCTCGGGCCGAACGAAAGGGGGGGGATAAGGAAAGGGGGGGGGTACGAAATCTGCTGCATGCAGCTGGTTTCGGCCCGCCACAAGGCCAATTCCTCGATACATGGGCGCCTCCCGGCGCCGGGAGGCGCCGGGAAAATTAGCTACGTGAGCTGATTCTCAACCCCCCCCTTTGCTATCCCCCCCTTTCGCCCGGCCCGACCGTCGACTACCGCACGACCACCGAGACGGGGACGGCCACTGTCCGCGAGGCTTCCTGTGCCCACGCCGCCGGCCCCCGACGGAGCACAGCGCTGCCGACCCCTGGCGACAAGCGGGAGCTGCCAGGGGGGGAGGGGCCGTCACGACTTTCGCCAGCGCCGTCTGGGAATGCTTCGGAATGGCTACACGCCGGTCGTTGAAAGTAGGTATTGTTGGACTCCCAGATCCCAATCTACTTCAATCGTCTTCCTACTTCAAGAGTCGGCATGCTTTTGCTGTGTTGTGTTTTTCTTTGGGATGACCTGGACCCAATATACTATATCCACCTTCCTACTTCATGTTTCTACCTACTTCTTCCGACCGACGTGTAATTCCCAGACGGCGCTGGCGCGAGCCATGACATTACCGGGGTTGGGGGGGTGGGCAGGGGCGGTAATGGGCGTTATCGCGAATCAGAAATATATTGTTTCAAGGCGGATGGGCGAATGTGCGCCTGCTTGTTCCCCACGGGCGAACAGTCGGGAGCAGGGAAGTACATACAAGCACACAGTGGGACATATATGCCACCAGTGCTGAACATATATACCTCTGTAAGATCCTCTTGAAGGCCGCTTGGTGTCATCTTGCAGGTCTCTCGGGGGCCGTCGTGACGCATTTGAGACCCGCTTCGATCTTTGTTGTGGCACTCTTTGAGGCCGTGCGAGCCGTCTCGGAGCCATCAACGAGGCCATCGGTCCAAAAGAACGGAGGCGTTTCTAGCTAGCCAGAAAAATCAACCTGTTGGGCCACGTCGGGGCGCTCTGGGGGCGTTTTGGGAGCACGTCGAGGCCGTATTGGAGCGATTCTGAGCCTCTTTTGGGGCTCTCTTGGGCTGTCTTGGAGTCACTTGAGGCATCATAAGCCCATCGGAGGCGAAAAGGCGAGAAGGTAAACCATGGATACATACATACATATATATATATATATATATATATATATATACACGTATATTTATATATAATGTATGTTCGTATATAAACATATATAATACATACATAAACACATACACATCCATTGCATACATTTATATACTGTGCACATGAACATATGTAGTGTAACTATGTGTGTGCGTTCCTGTAGTGAGGGGTATGTATATATATATTTAGATATATTTATACAGATATATGTGTATATATATATACATATGTATATATACATATATATGTGTCCTCTGGCATCTCGGATGTAGCCTTGGGAGGCTCCACGGTCACCTTGGAGCCGCTCTGGGGCTCAGTGGTCGTGTCGGAGCTCTTCTGGAGCCCCTTCTCGGAGGGCATATTGGGCATTTTGGATGCGCCGCGGGGTGGCTCTGGAGGCTCCGGGGCTGGGTGGGGCGTCGAGGAGCTCGCATCCCCCCCTTCGACAACACTTTGGACCCCCTGAAGAGAGGGAACAACGGGCATGGATCATCGCCGCCGACACGGCACAGGGCGCGCAGGAGCGTTCGGGGGCGGTCCAGAGGGGAGCGAGGACTAGGGGGGGAGGCCCTGGGCCGTGCACATGCCTCCGGCCATGATTTGCGAACCTCCCCCAAGTCCCTAGATTGCCCTGGGTGCGCCTACGTCGCAGGCTCTTGGCTCGAGCTCAGACTGCACCTGGCTCGACACCCTCCATTTCTTCCAGACCAGAGAGCCCCAGCTACTGTGGGCAAAAACATCCTCTATGGCGGCGGCAAGCTCAAGCTCGGGCAGCGTGCCGCAGTGGATGGCCGACGCGGGCATGGACCTCGACGTCGGGTGGGGCCTCAAGAAGAGCAACAAGAGGGAGCTCGCATCCCCCCCTTCGACAACACTTTGGACCCCCTGAAGAGAGGGAACAACGGGCATGGATCATCGCCGCCGACACGGCACAGGGCGCGCAGGAGCGTTCGGGGGCGGTCCAGAGGGGAGCGAGGACTAGGGGGGGAGGCCCTGGGCCGTGCACATGCCTCCGGCCATGATTTGCGAACCTCCCCCAAGTCCCTAGATTGCCCTGGGTGCGCCTACGTCGCAGGCTCTTGGCTCGAGCTCAGACTGCACCTGGCTCGACACCCTCCATTTCTTCCAGACCAGAGAGCCCCAGCTACTGTGGGCAAAAACATCCTCTATGGCGGCGGCAAGCTCAAGCTCGGGCAGCGTGCCGCAGTGGATGGCCGACGCGGGCATGGACCTCGACGTCGGGTGGGGCCTCAAGAAGAGCAACAAGAGGGGGGCCGACCTCGGCTCCACAGCAGAGGTCGAGCAGCGCACGGCGGCGAGGCACAAGAAGGGCGAGGAGTGCTCGCGGACGCGAAGTCGGCCGCGGGCAAAGGAGCCAGCAAGGCGCAGGTGGTGCAGCAGCTCGTCGCCATCGTAGGCAAGCTCGTGCTGTCGCTCGCGGGATACCTGCGCTCGG